GATTGTTGATCCAAAGGGCCGTTGGGGCTTGATCTTGGAAGAACGATGAACAAAGAACGAAGAAGGCTTTCTTGATTCTTCGGGAACCTAGATGCTTGAGAGCTTCGGGGTTTCAGAGCTTCAGAGCTTCAAGGTGTAATATCTATTGGTCCTCTAAAATGAATGAAATGGGCTTGTATTTATAGAATTTTCCAAGGCCTAATTTTGAATATATCCCAGATGAAATAAGTCGTTTCTGCCAGGTGTTGACACGTGTCCTATTTGATGACTTTTCCAACTCATTTCAATTTTCGTTGAGTCACACGCTACGTGTAAAATTTATGTAATACATGAGCGTTGACACTTTGATTTATCGGTCAACATTTATTTACCGAAATTTCGATGTCTACAGTCAAGTTTTCCGATGCTGGAATTTTGACTTGATCGTTGAAGCATGTGAAGCAGATGTCTGTAGAATTACAAGCACTGAGTAGGGGTGAAATTTTTGTTTCAAGGACATTAGTTTCAACGATCTAACTGTCAAACTTGTTTGTATATATGTCGAGATCGCATACGCCAAAAATCGCAAAAAAACAAACATTCAAAGATCAAGTAACGGGACAAAACTTTTCAACGATTATAATCGAAAAATCATGATTTAACGATTATTTTAACTCCAATTTTGATGATTTTTTTACAACTACACTCTTTGATCCTATATGAATACAACAAACTGATTCGATCGTCAATTTAAAACAGTACATAAGTGGATACCACAAAAGAAAAAGGCATTTCAAGAATCCCAAAAGAAAAGCGAAAGGACAAAAAAAAAAAAAACTTTGCACGATGTAGGTACACATGTGTTGTGCAAAATAGCTTTACACGACTGTTGACCCTAAAAACTACCAAGCCTGCGTGGCGCAGGCCGAGTAATTTATAAGCTAACTACGTCCTTCGGTGAATGCGGGGCGTGCCAACTCGTCGGCCGAGTTCGGCCGAGGAGTAAATTTGTTGATGTTGCGTTGGGTGCGCTGCTGACTTCTGAATCTCGCGACTGCGGCCGAGGAAGGAACACTCTCGGCCTTCGGGTTCTAGAGCCTGAAGACAAGGCTGCTAGTTCTACGAAGTTCAATATCAAATTCGGCTTTCAATGTGCCGAATGTAATAACTTGTAACACCTCACTTCGCCGAGAAGGCTAATGAGATGACCTCGACCAATAAGGATTTGGAAATCCTTCTCGACCGAGACTTGGATAGGTAACCAACCGTCCTCGCCGCAGTGCTGTTGATGCCAACGGAAGATGCTGCTAGATCGGTTGATTCTACGGTGACAGAGCTATCTATGCCGACTTAAGATATCATCGGTTGCTTTCACAGTGCTGTTGATGCCAACGGAAGATGTGTCAGCGAAAAGAGAAAATAAAAAATCTCAAAATTGTTGAGAGGGTTTGCGCAGGGCAGTTTTGTGTGTTGAATTGGAGATCCCTTTCTATCGCAGAACATCTTGTATTTATAGTATTTTGTACTTGCTTGGCACGGCTGGATAACTGTGTAAAGTTCGACTGCAACTCTGACTCTATAAAATTGATCCGTGTGAAATGCCAAAGCCTATCCTCCAGCTTTTGTGACTTTTCAAACCTAATAAAAGTTAGGCTTTATCATATCTCATAAAAAGCCTAGCCTACCTAGACTTCTTATCATCAAAACTCCATCAATAAATTTTAAACCCATCTGACAACATCCATCACCATGTAAAAAGACCTAGTCTACCTAGGTTCCTTATCCCATCATTATCCAAGACTATGACTTTAAAATCATTAAATCCTCAAGCTTTTCAATCTGCACGTTCATTGCTAAACATCCAAATTAATTTGAACTGTACCTCTTACTTGAGGATATAATCTGCATCCTATCCATCCCGTTTAAGAATATGCCAAGATAATTCAAATTAAAAGATGATTATGATAAAAACCATAATATTATCTTTTAACAAAAATATCTTCATTTTTTCATCCGATGGTTGAGAACTATGTTTACTCTACGGCCTTGATTACACGGGCCGATGGTGTAAATTTGGGTCCAAACATTGCCCCCTAGTTTCCTTAAGCTTCGGCTTGTAAGCCGAATGGTTAAGGAAATTAACTGTTCGTAGCCAACAACATTTCTTCGTATTGCCGAGGAAGAAACTTTATTCCTCAGCAATAACATGTATGTTCTGCCAACACTGCGGCTTTCCTCGACTACCACAACTCCATACCAGGCTCGACAACTCTGCCAGAAGGTCGAGAAAATTGGGGTCGAGAAGAATTTTCCTGTCATCTCGGCCAGCCTATATACGTATATATATACTGATCAAAGGCCGAAGCTCATTAAATATCCTGACTCTTAGATTTGACAACCCAACTTCCACTATTAAAATTCATGGCCGAGTCTTACATATATAAAATATTTATATTTGTCTTTCCAATGGTATTCTGACAATTCCCCATCAGCCACATCCATAGGCTAAAGCCTATATCTAATTAAATATCTACTTTTGTTGAATAAGTCTGCCATCACTAGGAAAAACTTCGCATGCACGTATCCAAATTCGCCGAGCTCGGCAAACAAATTACCTCGGCCTAAACAACCGATTTCCTGAATCTGCCTCGGCCTAGACAGCCGAAATCTATTCCTTTTGGATATCTCGACAAACAAATTACCTCGGTCTAAACAGCCGATTTCCTGAATTTGCCTCGGCCTAGACAGCCGAAATCTATTCCTTTTGGATATCTCGGCAAACAAATTACCTCGGTCTAAACAGCCGATTTCCTGAATCTGCCTCGGCCTAGACAGCCGAAATCTATTCCTTTTGGATATTGCCCCCCTTATTTTCTTATGCATCGGCTTAATTAGCCAGATGATTAAGAAAAATAATTTATTCCTTTTCTTAATAAAAGAAAACAAAAGTGGCCGAGCTATCAAGAGGAGGAGGCCAACGATGTTTTATTCCAAGTCGAGATCTTTGTATATCAACACAGCCAATCAAATTTTGCATTGAGCCGAATAAAAAATCATCTCCAAATATGCTCGGCTTGACAAAAGATTTTTTATCGGTCGCCGAATGTGTTGAACAATTATTATGCCTCCCAGGCATAATAATTTCGTCAATTTTGACTTGCGACTTAAATAACTTAGCTGAACGGTATTTCTCCATATCGGCTTTATCACCAATAATCATATCAATTGGCGTGATTTTTTCGGCTAGGCTTATGTCTCGGCCCTGTTCGTCATTGGAACATTCCTCTGACGAATCATTTTCTGAGTCAATTTTTGTATTTGGCTCAAGAACTTGAACTTTTTCTTCTAGGCCTACCACACTTTCAGTCTCGACCGAAAAAATAGGTGGCCTTTGTTCTTCGCCCAAATTAACCATTTTCTTAAGCCGAATATTAGTTGTGGCCGGAGCGGAAATTTGCCCCCCCGGCCTCTTGCCTTTCATAAATTCTTCCCAAACTCTCGAGGAGTTGTTTTTGCTTCGTTAATAGGCGATGACACTCATCCCATGAAGCCTGATCAAGATAGATCATGTGAACTTCGTAGTTTTAGCATTGGGTCCCACTGGGCGTGCCAAAATGTTGACCCTAAAAACTACCAAGCCTGCGCGGCGCGCAGGCCGAGTAATTTATAAGCTAACTACGTCATTCGGTGAATGCGGGGCGTGCCAACTCGTCGGCTAAATTTGTTGATGTTGCGTTGGGTGCGCTGCTGACTTCTGAATCTCGTGACTGCGGCCGAGGAAGGAACACTCTCGGCCTTCGGGTTCTAGAGCCTGAAGACAAGGCTGCTAGTTCTACGAAGTTCAATATCAAATTCGGCTTTCAATGTGCCGAATGTAATAACTTGTAACACCTCACTTCGCCGAGAAGGCTAATGAGATGACCTCGACCAATAAGGATTTGGAAATCCTTCTCGACCGAGACTTGGATAGGTAACCAACCGTCCTCGCCGCAGTGCTGTTGATGCCAACGGAAGATGCTGCTAGATCGGTTGATTCTACGGTGACAGAGCTATCTATGTCGACTTAAGATATCACCGATTGCTTTCACAGTGCTGTTGATGCCACAGGAAGATGTGTCAACGAAAAGTCAGCGAAAAGAAATAAAAAAATCTCAAAATTGTTGAGAGGGTTTGCGCAGGCGCAGGGCAGTTTTGTGTGTTGAATTGGAGATCCCTTTCTATCGCAGAACATCTTGTATTTATAGTATTTTGTACTTGCTTGGCACGGCTAGAGATAACTGTGTAAAGTTCGACTGCAACTCTGACTCTGTAAAATTGATCCGATCCGTGTGAAATGCCAAAGCCTATCCTCCAGCTTTTGTGACTTTTCAAACCTAATAAACGTTAGGCTTTATCATATCTCATAAAAAGCCTAGCCTACCTAGACTTCTTATCATCATCAAAACTCCATCAATAAAATTTTAAACCCATCTGACAACATCCATCACCATGTAAAAAGACCTAGTCTACCTAGGTTCCTCCTATCCCATCATTATCCAAGACCATGACTTTAAAATCATTAAATCCTCAAGCTTTTCAATCTGCACGTTCATTGCTAAACATCCAAATTAATTTGAACTCTACCTCCTACTTGAGGATATAATCTGCATCCTATCCATCCCGTTTAAGAATATGCCAAGATAATTCAAATTAAAAGATGATTATGATAAAAACCATAATATTATCTTTTAACAAAAATATCTTCATTTTTTCATCCGACGGTTGAGAACTATGTTTACTCTACGGTCTTGATTACACGGGCCGATGGTGTAAATTTGGGTCCAAACAGCGACGTACATACACCTGCGTCGCGCAAAACATCTTTGCACGATGTAGGTATTTGCAAAGCAGTTTTGTGCGACGCATATGTACCTACGTCGCGCAAAGCTATTTTGAGCAACGCATGTGTACATGCGTCGCGAAAAGTTGTTTTTTTTTTTTTTTGGCCTTTTGGCCTTCCTCTCCCCTGTGTTGTTGTTGGTTGTGCCGTACGACGTCGTCTCCTCCCGTTAAAGTTAAACTGTCTCCCTCGTCTCCATTCTCGTCACTATCCCGATACCTCATTCGGATCTCCCCATTTCCACATCCCACAATCGCAATCCCTAAATAGATATGTCTCATTGGCCATGTCTCTCATGCTCTTCTTTGAGAGGGTTTATATGGGAGTGGTCATCGTTCTGGTCAAGCTCTTCTGGAAGAAACCAGAAGAACGCTATGAAACCAGAAGAACGCTATAAATACGAGCCCATTCAGGACGACCTTGAAGTAGGAAGCTCCAATTTCCTTGTTGTTCTCATCCAAATCCCCATGTTCAATGAAAGAGAGGTGCACACATACACACATATACATACATACATACATATACATATACATATATATATATATATATATAGTTATAGATATGATTGTTTTTGCATTTTTATTTTCTGGGTTTGTGAGAGAAAAAAGCCTTTAAAGTGTGGTGCTTTTTGTGTATGGGGTCAGGTCTACAAGGTCTCCATCGGAGCTGCATGTGGACTTCCATGGCCGTCCGACCGTGTCGTGATCCAAGTCCTTGATGATTCAACCGACCCTACAATCAATGTAAGAATCTCATCCTTTCAATGGGGCCTTTTCCTTTTAGTCCATTAGCAGAGCTCCAAGGATCTCAATGTGTGCGATTTCAGACCCAATTTCGGACATGGGGTTGTTCCAATGCGCAATGTCCGAGTGGGTTTTCAACAAAATTGGCAAATAAATTAATAAAAATTCATCTGAAATTGTTGCAGCAAATGGTGGAGCTGGAATGCCAGAGGTGGGCAAGCAAGGTCATAAAATTAATAAAAATTCATTTGAATTTATGTTCGATCAACATTTTTTTGGCAAATTATGGGTTATGTGTGTTGAGTTTTAAGTGTTTGATTGTATATATCTTTTCATAGAGAAACAACAACATAAGAATACAAGATATATAGGGCAAGGTGTGATCAACACACTGATCACCCTTGAATCACTCCTACATGGCAGCTTCGTAAAACAGGGAGCAGAAAGAAGGCAAGGCAAAAAGCTTCTAACCACCCTAGAAGTATGGGAAAGAAGATACAAGATCTAACTAGAAGTAAGGTGACAACTACACCCTAATCATCAACCTAACCAACATCTCCGGATACCCTCTTTTGACTTTTATTAGACAATATGGGGTGACTGATGCTGCACTGCGCATACTGATGCTGCATATGATTGATGCTGTATATGGAATACCCACTCTTGACTTTCAATAATGTGGGATCGTTTAGGTTTGTGCATGTTGTTTAATTACTTCTTAATTTGTTTCAAGTTTTGAATTTGCATCGATTTTATCTGAGCATCAGTTGCTTTGATTGAATATTTACTTGAATTGGTTCAAACTGTTTTACCCATCTTGAATTGTGGATTTGTTGCTTCAAAAGCACTCGATTTGCATCTTTTTGCTTTGAGATTTTTCTTATTACTTTTGGTTAAGATTTGAGCGCTATCGATTAGAAGAATTGGTGGAAGAATGTGTAAACAAAAACTGAGTTCTGCCGCTCAAGCGCTATATAAAACTGAGTTCTGCGCATTACTGAGTTCTTCTGCTCAAGTGCTAGCATTACCGAGTTCTTAACATAGAATGATATATAACTGCTGCATTTATTATGTCATTATGCATGCAGCTATTTTTACAAGTAATAAGGGTATGATATCTGTGGTATGATAGCTGAACCGAGTACATTATGCATGCAGCTATTTTTACAAGTAATAAGGGTATGATTGTTGGTAATTGTTTATTAACAGGATCGAGAAACGGATGTCGTTGGACTATCGATCACAATATGGTGTGAAGGATATGAACAGAGTGAATATAGAATCGAATGTATATTCTGACAGAAAGGGATTTACAAATATATAGATATGCAAGTAACCTTTCTGGAGAAGTTGTGTTCTTCAGGAGAAGTTATGACTTCTCAGGTTGGAATATAACTGTTGATATCCTTTAATTAATTAATTAATTATATTATATTATATTATTTTCTTTATTAATTAATTAACTTATTTCACTACAATCATATGTATATTAGTACACCAATGTTATGGTATACCTTCACATATGATTACACATATTGTGAAAACCATGTTATCATAATCATATTCCAACATCTCCCACTTGATTATGATGACATAAATGGTTTCCTATTCTGATTTGTTTCTCAAGAGTATTACTCATAAACAAATTGAATGTAACATCAGATATGTGGCTTCTTTACCTGGTGCGCACCATTCCACTTAATCTGATGACATTTTACTCTTTAGTAAAATGGCATCATATCCAAGTAACTAGGACAAACAATCCATACCCGGTTACAAATGATGACTTAGCCCCGCACTATACGCCACAGTGTTATATAAATTATTTCTTGAAGCTTATTATGGATTTTACTTTCAAGACGATTTATTATAACCTGGTTACCTCGCTAGTGCCCTCTATCTTTAACCGACCAAGTACTAAAGAACCAGATAGAGTCGCATCTACTTGTCCATGTTTCAGGCGTCCCTAAAACCATACAACGATGCCCGTCGCACGTCTCACTCTACAACACATCTAGATGTTTTGCAAACCCATTGTAGTCACATGCTCTCTGAATTTTTCCAGAGACAATCCCTTGGTCATCGGATCGGCCACCATCTCTTCGGAAGGTATGTAGTCGACCTCTACCTCTCCTTTCTCCACTATATCTTGTACATAGTGATATTTAACATCAATGTGTTTTCCTTTGGAACTATTTGCTCCACTCTTTATCAGAAAAATGGCGGACTTATTATCACAAAACACATTGACGTGCTCCTTAGGTATACCTATATTTAAATTATCGATAAATCGTTTAGCCCATACTGCAGTACTAACCGCTGTGCTACAAGATATATATTCTGCTTCCATGGTAGACTTTGCAACACAGCTTTGTTTCTTACTTAACCAAGAAACAGTCGTTCCTCCAAACAAGACAATGTTACCACTTGTTGACTTTCTGTCATCCAAGTCGCCTGCGAAATCTGCATCGCAATAACAAACTAAATCTAGATCATTTAATCCGAAACATAGTTTCATACCTTGGGTGCCTTTTAGATATCTAATAATTCTCTTTACTGCCATCCAATGTTACTTTCCGGGGTTGGATTGATATCTACTTACCAATCCAACTGCATGACATATGTCAGGTCTTGTGCTGGTCATAGCATACATCAAACTTCCAACTGCTTGGGCATATGGAACATTTTGCATATCAATGATGTCTTGTTTATGTACCGGACACATATTTTTGGAAAGCATCATTCCTTTACAAACAGGTGTACTAACTGGCTTGCAATCTTGCATATTAAATCTTTTAAATATTTTATCCAGATAATTTTGTTGATCCAAATAGAGTGTTTTGGCATCTCTATCCCTAGTAATTTTAATTCCTAGAACATAAGATGCTTCTCCCATATCTTTCATTTCAAATTTGGATCCCAAATATGACTTAGTCTTTTCAATCATATCTATAGAGTTACCTGCAAGTAAGATGTCATCTACATATAGTGACAACACACAGAAATTATCTTGGCACTTCCAAGAGTAAACACAATGATCCAATAGATTTATTTTGTAACCCATTTCCATAATGGCTTGGTGGAACTTTAAATACCATTGTCTTGATGATTGTTTAAGGCCGTACAACGACTTTCTTAATTTATAGACTTTGTTTTCATGTCCTTTGACATGATATCCTTCGGGTTGAATCATATAGATGTCTTCCTTTAAATCTCCATTCAAGAATGCTGTTTTGACATCTAACTGATGAAGTTCTAAATCCATTATAGCAACAATTGCCATAAGAATGCGAATGGATGTAAACTTCGCAACTGGAGAGTAAGTATCCACAAAATCTATACCGGGTTTCTGAGTATAACTCTTAGCTACAAGTCGAGCCTTAAACTTTTCCAGGGTACCATCTGATTTGTACTTTTTACGAAGTACCCACTTACAACCGATGGGCTTTCTTTCATTAGGTAGATCAACCAATTCCCAAACTTGATTTTTCTTTATGGAATCTAATTCTTCATTCATTGCTTGTTGCCATTGTTCAGACTCAAAACTATCCATTGCTTCTTTATAATTCCGTGGGTCTGGATCTCCCACTGAATGATCTACCTCCTCAAGATTGAAAACAAAGTGATCTTTCAATCTTCTAGATGGTTCCCTTTTTTCTTTTACTCCCACTGATTTTATCATTTCTCCCACTATTAATATCTTCCATGATAATATCATGATCATCATCCATGTGTATGTCATGATCGACATTGATATGATCACCCATGTTAATATCTCCCACTTGATCATTGTCAATGTCAACATCATGAGACAAGTCTAAATCAAGATGAAAATCTTGAGCATCCGTAAGAGAATTGTCTTCTTCCAAAGATTCCAATTCGTGTATTGGTTTAAACAAATCAGTAGTTTCAATAAAAGTAGCATCTCTACTTTCGATCAATCCTTTCTCAGGATGATAAAACCTATATCCGATACTATTATCAGGATATCCTATGAATTTACATTCCAAAGTCTTTGCTTGTAATTTATTTCTTAATGGCTTTGGAATGAGGACATGCGCTTTACGACCCCAAACTTTTAAGTTTGATAAATCGGGTTTGCGCCCATGCCATAATTCATATGGAGTTAGTGGCTTGGCCTTTGTATGAACTTTATTCAATATATATGCTGCAGTAGCCAAAGCTTCACCCCAAAAATGTAGAGGTAAGTCAGCATAAGACATCATAGATCGCATCATATCCATTAGAGTTCGATTTCTTCTTTCTGCGATACCATTTTGTTGCGGTGTATAAGGCATAGTATAATTATGCCTTATACCATTCTCTTTGCAGAAATCATCAAAGGCTTCAAATTCTCCACCTCTATCACTATTAAGGGTCTTTATGGATCTTCCCAATTGGTTCTCTACTTCGGCCTTAAACTCTTTAAATTTTTCTAAGGCTTCATTTTTATGCTGCAAGAAGTAGACATATCCATAACGGGAATAATTATCGATGAAAGTCACAAAATATTTCATTCCTCTATGGGTTTTTGTTCTCATAGGTCCACATAAATCTGTATGCACTATCTCAAGTAAATTTGTAGAAATCCAATGCTGAGAAAATGATTTTCTAGTCATTTTTCCTTTAATACATGATTCGCATGTATCAAAATCATGTGCATTTATTTGAGGCAACATTCCATTTTTACTCATGCGTATTATTTTATTTTTATTTATGTGACCTAAACGTAAATGCCATAAATATGACAAGTTTTGAACAGTAGAGACAAAGACATACTCGGAAGAAATACTTTTATTAATACAAACTGAGTACATATCATCGAGTCTTATTCCCCTTACATAAATATAACCCTTTTTCCCAATAGTGACAGCACCATTCATGAACCTTGTCTCAAAACCTTTCTTTTCTAGGACAGAAACAGAGACAAGATTCCTTCTTATATTTGGTGCAAACAGAACATTTTTAAGTACAATGGTAGATTTACTATTGTTGATTTTGCAATCTCCTTCACCCAAAACATCGACATAAGTATTGTTGCCCATGTAGAGACGATGTTCTCCTAGTGCTTTCTCCTTGAAATTGATGAAGCAACTTTTGTCCTTACTTACATGACGAGTTGCTCCTGAATCTATCCACCATTGTCCTTGATCTTCAGCAATGAGTGCTTCAGAGATAGTCAAAATTAGTTCTTTAGGATTTTTGTTGTTTTTGCGTCGTTTTGGGCACTTATACCTATAATGACCAGTCTCTCCACAATTGTAACATGTACTCTCCTTTCCTTTAAACTTGTTCTGCTTGCGGTGTCCAAACTTTTTAAATTTCGGGCGCTTGTTACTACTATGTGGCTTGTGCATGTGTTGCTTGTTTTTCTGAGAATCTTCCGCTATGAGGAGGTTGGCTCTGCCTTGTCCAGTTTCCTTTTTCCTATAATTTTTACGAACTTCTTCAATAGCCAACATTGCAGGCAATGTATCCATCGTTAATTCAACTTGACCATAAGTCATGGAAGTAACTACATTTTCCCAAGAATTTGGGAGGCTACCAAGAAGAACACTAACTTGCATTTTATCAGAAACTGGATGGCCAGCATTGGCTAAGTCTTTTTCCATTACTTCCATTTTAGTAATATGATCAACCATAGAATCAGTTTCCTCCATTTTTGTCCCATTGTATTTCTCAAGCAATAACTGAATGTATGTTTGAGATTTAGGACCATACTTCTTTTCAAGTACATCCATGATTTCTTTGGACGAATCATATTCTTCATAGAGAGGTATTAATTTATCTTCCATGTAATTGAGGATTGTGGCCTTAGCCAATTCATTATCTTTCACCCATTTATTATAAACTCGAGAGGGCCCAAGGGGTCTCTCGTCCTTGATAGTGTACAAAGTCTTGTCATGGGTTAAAAGATAAGTAATCCTTCTCTTCCATATTCGATAATTAACGTTATTCAACCACTCAATTTTAAAAACTTCGGATTTGGAAGATTTAGTTGCCATAGCTCAGAAAATTACAAAACAAACACAATACTTAATACAAACTTAAATACAAATACAAATACTACTAGTGTACTTTTAATTATTACAAGCCACAAATACTAATTGTTCTTAATAAATTAAAGACTAAAAAACAAAATAAAATAATAGATAGGAACTTATTTATTTATTATTATTTTTTTTTAGTAGCAAATACCGCACGCATTCACAGAGGTTTTGTCCAATTAGTGAAAGACGAGTACTTGTTCAGGCGATCACGTCGATAGAAAGCTCGTGGATTTCTTACTTGTCTACTTGGCCAAGTGTGATCAATTCTTCCTGTATTTTCGTACAAAAGCAGTCTCTTCTCGACTACTGGATTCTCTTTCAATTCTCAATGGTCTTGGCCCCCTTAAATTTCTTGCAGTCGAAATCTCTCTTTGTGCCAAATCAGGATATATAAAACCGTAACGGGTATTATGTTGATCCAAATAATTAAGCACTTTGACTCTAGAATTCCGAAAATTAAATCCTTGCTTCCACGTTTGATCTTTGTCACTATTATTCAAATTATTCCACAAATCAACTCTATGAATGAAATTATTAGGGTAAACGGGATTAATTAAACCTGAATTTTGTTCAATCGTAACACCCAAATGAGTAGGAAATGGCTCCAATTGCAGCTGTCCAGAATTTTGCCTAGAGGAGGAGCCCACTTCAAAGTTTCTGTCGATTTGACTTTGCGTAGAACCAAAAAATCTGCTATCTTTGGTTGCTTCTCCACGTGAAACCCCTGATTTTTCACATGCACTGTCAGAGTGCATTGAACCAAACCAAATGTTGGCTTTTGTGTTGTCCACACGTGATGCCTTTTCACATGCACTGTCAAAGTGCAATGAATCAAAAATGTTTTTGACTTTAGCCTGCGAAAAACCACTTTCTCTGGGAAAAACCACTTTCTCCCCAAAAACAAATTCTTTTTTATTTTTAAAGTAGTCTTCTTCTTCTTTATTTCCAAAACACTTTCTCTGGGAAAAACCAGTTTCTTCTTTCTTCTTCGTTCCGCAACCCGGCGGATAATCTCGAACAGCAGAGATTATTTTTCTTGGAGGATATCGATGCGGTTGGTGTTGTATATTATCACGAGAGGACGAGACCACGGATGAACGACGAGACCACGGAGGAAGAACACGACCACACTGCTGAGTATTATGAGTCGATGAGATTCTGCGGCGAGTCCACGGTGGAAGGCGAGGGCGTGAAGGGTTTTCTTTTCGAGCCGAAAGTTGCGAGTTCGAATTCGGATTTGCAGTAATTTGAGAGCAACTTCGAAACAAACTTGATGGTGCAGGTAAATCCCTTGGACTTGGTGACCAAAATCTAGGAAAGGGATTTGCACTTGTAGTTTCAAATTCTTGTGTAGATTCGGTTTTTGCAGGCAAAAATCCCGAGTGAAATGTATTGTCTGAGGGCCTAATGGGACTGTAAAACCTTTCTGAATTCTGATAATTGTTGGATGAATTTGTATGATGAAATGGTTCAATTTCAGAAAGAATTTTGTTCTCTGTCGAAAGTAATGGTGTAAGGGAATAAGGTTCAAATTGTTGGGTTAATTCAGGCCTAGGTTCAAACAGGTTGTAGGATGGGATTTCGAATGATTGGGTATTTTTGTGAGTTTTGGATTCTACAGGAAAATACTCCGATGACGATTTCGAACTTTCAATCAAAATCGGTTCAACATTCTCCTTGGTCATCGACGTCCTCTTCCCTAAATGCTTCTCAAGTTGAAACTTAGAAAAAACGTTGTTGGATTCGTTACTTGACGGAGAGGAAGTCTCAGATTTTGTTCGAGACGTCCTCGGATGAAAACTGGGCAAATTATCTTGATTCATGAAAACCTGGCTCTGAGGCCACTGTTGGTAATTGTTTATTAACAGGATCGGGAAACGGATGTCGTTGGACTATCGATCACAATATGATGCGAAGGATATGAACAGAGTGAATATAGAATCGAATGTATATTCTGACAGAAAGGGATTTACAAATATATAGATATGCAAGTAACCTTTCTGGAGAAGTTGTGTTCTTCAGGAGAAGTTATGACTTCTCAGGTTGGAATATAACTGTTCATATCTTTTAATTAATTAATTAATTAATTATATTATTTTCTTTATTAATTAATTAACTTATTTCACTACAATCATATATATATATTAGTACATCAATATTATGGTATACTTTCACATATGATTACATATATTGTGAAAACCATGTTATCATAATCATATTCATCTGTGGTATGATATCTGAACCGAGTACATTATGCATGCAGCGATTGTTTCAGTACAATTGCATCTTCTTCTGCTGATGATATCAGTGGTATGATATCTGAACTGAGTACATTGCCTGCGGGTCCTGACACCCAGCGTCATGTCTCTGCTATACGGCGGAAGATTACAATATTGGGGAGTAGACTTGATAGCTTCCATCAAACTCCCTGATAAATAGCACATGTAAGTCATCACAGTTGACTTGTTTTAATGCATACACCAAACTGCTATTGGAACAAATATAGGAACTGAACACTGTTGTATGCTCTTCTTTCATTTCCGGTTTCTATTAGTCAAAGTAGCATGTGACGGGGTTTATTCCCAAGTTATGAGTTCTTTGAGTTCGTATTTCATGTGATCACCGTTTGTGATAGAAGCTCATGAAACTTTTGATCAAAATCAAACATAGTTATAGTAAGATAGTCCTTCATAATGTTAAAGATACTTCTGGCTATCATTGTATGACATTCTTTATGCTGCCATTTTTGAAACTCAGATCAGAGAGAGAGAGATGAATCGTCGAAAGGATATGATAGGAAATTTAAGATCGAAAGTGAAGCACGGCTTCAACATTGATGTCCTAGTCTTCCAACCGAGATAGCTTGATGGGGCCAGAAATAAATAAAGCAGATGGCTTCAACATTGACGTCCCACTCTTCCAACCCTTCAATTTTTTATTTTTGCTTTCAAATATAAAATATCCCCATTAACTTTTCTTCACATTTTGATGAGGAAAAATGACTGAAACATGTAATGTGTTTACTTATATTTGAGAGACCACTGATTTAGCCAATCTCAAGTTCGTGCTTCTTGAAATTTTGTTATAAAACACAGTGAAAGTAAAAAGTGGGCGGTGAAATAGATAAAAGGATTTGACTGAAAATAGTGACATGAAATCTCATAGAAAAAATACAAATTGAATTAAAAGAAAAGCTTTCTCGGCGACGGTTTTGATGAAATGGTGGAGGGCGAGGTTGAGGACTTTGGGGGAAGGGGAATCCCTCTGCTTTCTCGGACCCCTGCAACCTTGTCAAGCAGCTTTCCTGGCTCGGGGTCTGTTAGTAGTGTCTTCTGAAATGACTGCGAAAGGCATGTTGCAATAATAGTCAGACGAAGCTCTCCGTTGTAGCGATCATCCACAACAGCCCCAAATATTATGTTAGCAGAAGGACCTGAAAATTTACAATAGTTTGCAGACTTCATTAGGCCAAGGAAAGGAGACAAGAAAAAAGGGCTACCAGCACCAACCACAAGCAATAATTTACGGCTTCCCCCCTCATCTTCGAAAATGAAAATGTAAAGGTAGGAGAACTGATTCCCACCATGGGGAATGTAAGATGTAAATCCTGAGGAGTTGGTTCGAGCTCACTAAACTCGTTCCATAAAACTGAAGAGACCACTTTTCAATATAGTCAATGTTCTCATTAGATTAATACGGAAGCAAAAAGAATTTCAGGGTCCCTTTCTTCCTTCAAAATTAAAGCATAAAAACCCGTAATGTTACCTGAGACACTCTGTTGACTTCCTGCAGGGTTATGTCCTTTCCACCTGTGATATTATACACAACGCCAGTAGCTGATTGAATTGAAGATCCAATCAGAGGAGCCAAAGTCGCCTGTTCAGCTGCTTCTTCTGCACGGTTTTGCTGGAGGAAACACCTACTCCGAGCATTGCAGTTCCTGAGTTTTTCATGACTGCCTTTACATCTGCAAAATCCACATTCGCCAATGTAAAATGCAGTTTCATAAAGCAGTATTACAGAAGACAACATTCCGAACCACATAACAGTTAACTAACAAGATGTGAACGGTAAGTAGTAACTAATAAGCTCATGGTGTCTACTTATATTATACTTCACCTTTTCAAATGTAGTTTCTCCCGTTCCTGTTTTATACAGTTCATACACCATAGGAGTCAAAAATACTTTACTCAGTTTGGAACAAGTTTTCATCAGTGAAACGACCAACTGCCACTGCCATTATTTATACTTCAACTTAATACCCGTGTGTGGAATTCAAGCCATGAATAAGGATTTCATCCAACCTGCAAGGAATTCAAGCCATGAACAAGAAAATGAGACAAAGTGTTAGAGTAAAATTGGCAGTTCCTAAACAAAACGCCCGAGTCTGTAATCTTAGACTAGTGCTTGTTTTCAGTTGTAATTATTTTAGTCTAAGTTTGTCTCACGTGCTCTCGATCACAAAATGGCAAGCGTTTCAGAGACATCCATTCAAGTAAGTTTGACATGCATATGCATTCACATGATATAAGTTTTTGTTCAATGGGCTGTTTAGCTTTAAGTTTATAATAATTGAGGTTTGGGCTTTACATATTAATTAATTTGCTACGACTTCATTTAGCTTAATTAAAGGTCCATACATATTAGAGGTCGCATTTGGTGCGATGGCAAGTGCCTTCGCCCATGAGCGGTAGGTCTCGGGTTCGAGACTTGGGAGCAGCCTCTCTATAAATGGGGGTAAGGCTAGCCGACATTCACCTCTCCCAGACCCTGCGTAAAGCGGGAGCCTTGTGCACTGGGTACGACATTTTTAAAGGTCCATACATTAATATGAGAATTATATATTTGGAGTTAGATGCCATGCATTTAATATGTGGATAAATTTCGGATGGTCTTTAGTTTATCTCTTCACTTAGAGATCACTTCAAACTCTATTGGATTAGTTGTTTTAATTGATTAGGATGACAAGTCTGATCTTTCTTTTTTCTTCGGCCACGTGCTTAATCTAACCGACCTATATATATATAGATTCATCAGGTTAGGGTTTGGTGGTTGCTGCTCCGTATCAGAACATATATATACATTGAGAGCAGGCATTTATTTGTGAGAGCATGCGTTAGGTTTTCAGAAGTCATCATCGTATCATAATTGTTGGTTTTGGTTGCTGCAGCATGCATTGGAATAGGCTTTGTTTTTGGGCTGTCGTTTTTGTGCTTTAAAGGGATATTTGAGCTTTAGTCAGCAACACTAGCAGCACGGCATATATTCCTTCAGTGTTTTTTGTTGTCCATGCGCCGCATGAATTAGATTAGGATTTTGGTTGTTTTTGCTGCATGAAATATCATTTGAAAGCAACGACATGTGAGCAGCCCGTGTGCACAGAGAAGGAATTTTCATGAAGAAAAATCAGTTTTTATTGAAGGTGTTTTCAATGAGAAAAATATTAGTTTTGGTTAACTTTTTCATGCTCTTTAATTAGAAATCAATTATGAAAATGTGCCTTGTGATTTTCATAATTGATTGATTTCCAAAAATCATTTCATTACATACATTATGCATGATCGTGTTAGTATCCTGCAAAGTTCGAGGCGACAGTGATTGACGGCCGCGTTAGTGTCGTGCCACTTCAACTCGAAGGCTGAAGAGAGATCAAGTAGCAAAGCGCGGAGACAAACCTGCCTACTAGTATGCGTGTCTAGTTGATGAGTTTTGTAAGTCTTTCTGTACTTATTTTTCTTAGTGTTTGTCCTGGCTTGAAAGCCCGAGGATTTTCCCAGTGGTGGGTTTTGCCTCGTTAAATCCTACATCATGTGTGCACTTTTTATTTATCGTTTTAATTGCATATGAGTATGATAGTTTGATATGTGATGTGAATGTGGATTTAATTTGAAAACTGAAAATTAAATTGAAAATTGAATTGGATTTTTAAATTGGAACCTATTCACCCCCTCTAGGTTAAACTAGTACCCATCCTAGAACTTTCAATTGGCACCAGAGCAGGTCACTAAAAATACCTAGTGAGATTCGTGGGTAGTCTAGGATGAATCGTACTATGGGTTCAGTTTCTCATCCACCACATTTTGATGGTGACAACTATGCTGCGTGGAAGGCGAAAATGAAATCGTTTTTGTGGGCACAAGATGACAAGGTGTGGCTTGCTGTTGAAGAAGGTTGGGAACCTCCGACGATTGAAGAAACCAAAGGTAAAGGAGAGTCCTCTGTGTCTATATCTAAGCTTAAGCCTAGGAAAGAATGGAGCAATGATGAGCGTAGCTCTAGCACTTTTAACCAAAGGGCTTTGAATGCTTTATTCACAGCCGTTTCGCCTGAACAATTCAATTACATAAGTAAGTGTACAACGGCGAAAGAAGCTTGGGACATTCTTGAAGTTCATGAGGGTAACTCAATTGTTAAAGAATCCAAACTTCAACATCTTATCACAAAATTCGAAAATATCACAATGTCTGATGATGAAAGTTTCTCTGACTTTTATGCTAAGCTTAGCGTAATTGTCAATGGCTGTCACAATCTTGGTGACAGTATTCCTGAGCATAGGATTGTGAAAAAGATCTTAAGATCACTTCCTATGAGGTTTCATGCTAAGAGGACGACGATTGAGGAATCGAAAGATCTAAACACCTACAAGCTTGAGCAATTGATTGGGTCTCTGCAAACGTATGAGTTAGAGCTTCCTGATTCCAAGAAGATGAAAAGCATTGCTCTCAAAGCTGTCAAAGAAGAAGAAAGTGATGGCTCAATTGAAGACTTGTTCGAAGATGAATTGGTTGAATTAACCATGCAAATTATAAGGTTTCTCAAGTCTCAAAATTCCAAGGGTCATGAGCAACGAACCAACTCAAGTTCGAACTCAAAAAACTTTCGTTCTCTAGATGTCTTACATGACAAAGCCTCTAGATCATCTAGAACTAGTGAACATAAGAGTTCTAACAATAGGGTTCAATGTCATGAGTGTCAAGGCTATGGACACATTGCTTCTGAGTGTGCAAACACTATTAAGAGAAAAGAGAAGAAGAATAGGGCAATGAAGGTCACTTGGAGCGATAGTGATTTAGGGGATGCATCTACGTCAGAATCTGAGAAGGATATGATTGCGTTTATAGGAACTGTTGATGGATATGACACAGAAGGTTCATTTGTTGAAGAATCTGACTTGGAAGAAGTCTTGAGAAAATATTCTGATCTCTATGACATCAGTGTGCAAGTAAAAAAGGATAACTCTAACTTGAAGAAGAAACTTGCATTTGTTGAAAGTGAAAAGAAAGAAGCTGAAGTTGAGCATCAATCTCAGTTGGACAATGGAGAGAAACTACGAGAGTCGCTATTAGAGAAGATTCACATTCTACAAACCACAATTAACACTCTCTCATCTGATAAGAAAGCTCTTGAGGATGAAGTGGTTGAGATGAGAAGAAAAGTTCAGGAGTTGAGCATAGGTTCGGGGAAAATTGACAAGATGCTTAGCTATGGAAAAAGTTTTGGAGACAAAGGAGGTCTAGGATTCTAGTCTACAAAGACTAAAAGTTCCTCTTCTGTCACCAGATTTGTCAAAGCCTCTGATATTCCTAGTTTGAAAGTAGGTGACGATAAATGTTTAGGTCTTACTCCCGAAACATCTACAATCTTTGCACATGTGTTAAATCCTGTCAAGACTTCAATTAATCTTAACAAACCCAAACAATCTAGGAAGTTCATTCCTATATGTCATCTTTGTGGGATTCCTGGTCACATCCGGCCTAAGTGCAATAAGCTTAGAAAGAAAAATTCTTATCAAGAAAACTTGCAACTACACTCATAGCTTGTGAATGAGGATTCAGAACCACATGTGTTTTTGCACCATTTCATTCTTGTTGGAACAATTATATTCTTCTCATACAAATGATTATTTTTTTTTTTAAAAAAAAACATATCATTTGTGTGTTGCATTTCATTATTTTTTTCAAAGCATTTGTTTAGGGGGAGCTTAACAATATGAAAGAACATTTCTTTTCATGTTTATCTTTTCAACTATTGCACTTGTATTCTTTTCCCTCCTG